CATCATCTGCATAATCAGCAGCAGCATCATCCTCAGCGTCATCCTTATCGTCAGCAGCAGCATCATCATCATCAGCATCATCATCAGCAGCAGCAGCATCATTGGCATCACCATCATGATCACGTACTCATAATTATCACTAGCAGCAGCAATCTCATCAGCATCATCTGCATCATCAGCATCATCATCATCATCAGCATCATCATCATCATCCGCATCAACGTCGTCATCATCACCATCAGCACCACCACCACTGTCGTCCTCATCATCATCATCATCATCAGCAGCAGCACCATGAGCATCATCAGCAGCATCAGCATCATCATAATCATCAACACGATCAACAGCATCAGTGTCATCATCAGCATCAGCATCATCATGATCAGCATCAAAAGCATTATCAGCAACATCGTCGTCAACATCATCAACATCCTCGCCATCATAATCATCAAACTCATCATCATCATCATCAGCAGCAGCATCATCATCATCATCATCATCATCATCATCAGCATCATAATCATAATCAGCATCATCATCATAATCAGCATCACAAACCTCCGAGTTGGGCTTGTTTTCGGGTGTTCAATGATTGGGGGGTACAGCAAAAGTACAGTGTGTTTGATTATGGGGGCCTGGAACCCCCCGAAGAAACAAAAAGTGAATTCAGGTGTTCTTGATCTATGCTGCTTTTCAAAAATGATGCGGTTAGCAATTGTGGCCCCACAGAACCCACGAGTTGGGAGTTGTCAGAGGATGGATTGGGGGGGTATCAAAATTAGTATTGATATAAATTGTGGAGGCCCGGACCCCCTCGAGAAACAACGGAAAAAGCCTAGAGGTGTGAGATTGTTATGTTTTAGTTGGGTTGGTCAAAAATACTGCGGTTATAACGGTGGGGCCCCGAATCCTCCGAAAAACCAATGAATTATCCTGGCGAAGGACTCAACCATGTGCAGCTGTGTGTAACGCAGTTGTGGGTATCGTGGCGCTGCCACCAGAGACGTCGGTGCAGCCCTACGTGAGGCCACGAAACGTGAGGGGTGCACCGAAATACAAGGTGGAACCACGTGCGGGCGCTTCCATTAGAGCCTCTGGGGGCCACGAAACGTGGGAGAGGTGCGCCGAAATGAAGGGTGGAACTGCGTGCAGCCCTGCCCCTGGGGCCCTGGGTGGAACACCCTATGGGGCCACGAAACGTGCGAGGGGTGCGCCAAGAGGTGGAACTGCATGCGGACCCTGCCACTGGGGCCTTCGGCGAAGCACCCTATGGGCCACGAAACGTGCAAGGGGTGCGCCGAAGTTGGGGTGGAACTGCATGCGGACCCTGCCCCTGGGGCCTTGGGTGCAGCACCCAATGGGGCCACGAAACGTGTGAGGGGTGCACCGACATGTAGGTGGTGGAACTGCATGCGGACCATGCCACCACGGCCTTGGGTGGAGCACCCTATGGGGCCACGAAACGTGTGAGCGGTGCGCTGCGATGGGGGTGGAACCGCATGCGAACCCTGCCACTGGGGCCTTTGGTGGAGCACCCGATGGGGCCACAAAACATGTGAGCGGTGCGCCACAATGGAGGTGGAACTGCAAGCGGACCCTGCCACTGGGGCCGTCGGTGGAGCTCCCTATGGGGCCACGAAACGCTGTACTGGGTGGGTGAAACGCAGGGAGGAGGGAGGAGGGGGAGGAAGAGGGGGAGAAGCGCGGGAGGAGGTGAGACGCGGGGGCGCCGTCTCTTCAAAACGAGGGCCCAAGACCACAGGATGGTTAGGAAAAAAACCCGAGTTGAGCATTTGTCCGCGATGAGTTCCTCCGAGGACCCTCCGAGAAAAAAACATGCACACTCCTTGAAAAAATGGAGGTCCCCAAGGGGGGGTCGGGGAACGGCCACACCCTATTGCCATAACAGCAGCAGCATCCTCAGTATCCTTATCATCAACATCCTCAGCAGCATCATCATCAGCAGCATCATGTTCATCAGCATCATCAGCATCATCAACATCATCAGCATCAGGATCAGCACCATAATCATCACCAGCATCGTAAACATCACCAACATCATCAGCATCAGCATCAGCACCAACATCCTCACCAGCAGCATCATCATCATCAACATCAGCATCATCATCAACAGCAGTAGCATCCGCATCATCACCATCATTACCATCATCATCATCGCCATCATCAGCAACATCATGATCAACACCATCCGCATCAGGACCGTCATCATCATCATCATCATCATCATCATCATCATCAACATCGTCAACATCGTCGTCGTCACCATCATCATCATCATCATCAGCATCACCATGATCATCCTCAGCATCAGCATCATCACCATCATCATCAGCAGCAGAAGCATCATCATCGGCATCAACAGCAGCAGCAGGACCCTCATCATGAACATCATCATCAGCATCATCATCGTCAGCATCCTCATCAGCAGCATCGTGATGGGCATTACCATCATCACAACCATCATCATCAGCGGCAGCCT